TGGTATCTTCCACCTTCAAAATATTTCCTGTAAACCAACAAAAATACCAACGAACTAAGCGCTAAACCATGTGCAGCTGATTCAGCAGAGGTGAGCAAATATTTGGATTTCCCGTATTCTGCGGATGGAAACGGACGCCTTTCTTGAAATTCCACTGGTTTTAAAAGATTTTTAAGGTCAGTGGCATATGTTATATTTTAACAGTAGCAATAATATTAAGTAATAAAGAATATAATCACAAAATATCATAAAAATAAAATATTTATACATCATTCGGACATTTATCTACCCTATCCCATATTTATCTGGGTCGTCTTCATCTATTTTTCTCTTCGATTGTATTCAATAAATATTGGCCTTTCCATTTTTCCTACATGACCTAAAAATGTAAGTTGTTTGTCTATTATATTATTTAATATTAGAGGCAAAGGTGGGGGGCCACCATTTTTTTCCATCATAAATACCTCCATTATGAGTGAATCTTTTTGAAAATGAAAAAAATTAAACTTTATGATGTAGTAAATGAATGTAACACAACAAATTTAGTTTAGTAAAACAATTCAATTCAAAGAAAAGAGCATAGTACAAGACGTTACGGTCATAAACATGATTTCCGTAGGAAGTGATCACAGAATTGTTAGAGCCAAAATCAAAATTAACTCCACAACAGACAGACAAAAATTTAAACCATCTAAAAAAGAAATAGATACAGAACTTCTTAAAGAACGCAAAGAACAATACATAAACCAGCTAAAAAGAAGTGACATATCACAGCTAAAGGGTCTGCAACTAGACGAATTAAACGATAAAATAACAACAGAACTACTAGAAGCAGGCCTGAAGATTGCTAATAAACAAAAGCGAAAACAACAAAAAATTAGCGCTAAATCACAAGATATGCTAAAAAAACGACGACAACTACTGAATGATAACAAAAGAAATACAGTGGAGTATACCGAACTGAATAAAACCATAAGAAAACAGATAAAGGAAGATTTAAAGAAATACCAAGAAGACCGCATTAAGAAAATCATAGAGAAGAACAAAAGTTTAAAAACAATGAAGGCAAATATAGGAAAAAGAAACCTAATCATGCTTAAAGCTGAGAACAATGAAGAAAGAGATCTAGGAGAAATAGTAAAAATCACAGAAAGATATTACACAGACCTATACAGTTCTAAAAATGACCCATCAGTATCATCTAAACAGAATCTCACGAGGAAAATACAAAATGTTGGCTCAGAGGAATTACCAGAAATAACTGAAGATGAAATCGAAAAATCCATAAACGACATGAAAAGAAATAAAGCGGCCGGTGAGGATAAAATACTGGCGGAACTGCTAAAAGAAGGAGGAGACACGATAAAAAAAAATGCTAAAAATACTGTTCAACAAATGTCTGTTTGAAGGTAAAATACCCAAACAATGGAGAAATGCCAACACAATCTTAATACATAAGAAAGGAGACCGAACAGACCTAAACAACTACCGTCCTATTTCCCTTTTGTCACAACTATATAAAACCTTCACAAGAATAATAAACAACCGACTAACCTAAAAACTTGATAACTACCAACCAGTGGAACAGGCCGGTTCAGAAAAGGATACAGCACAATCGACCATCTACATACGCTTAAAATCTTAATTGAGAAAACCAATGAATACAACCTTCCGCTGTACTTAGCATTCGTAGATTATGAAAAGGCTTTCGACAGCATTGAACACTGGGCGGTTGAAGAAGCTCTGGTCAATAGTAGAATATATTCAAGATACCGACAATTGATACATGATATTTACCAAAACGCAACCATGACCGTAATTCTGGACGATAAATTAATAACGGATAATATAAAAGTTAAACGAGGAGTCCGACAAAGCGATATAATTTCACCTAAACTGTTTACCTTGACCCTCGAAGACATAATAAAATCAACAGATTGGGAAAACAGAGGAATATGTATTAACGGAAAATACCTAAATCACCTTAGATATGCGGATGATATACTCCTGATCTCCTCGGAACGACAAGAACTGGAATTAATGCTGAATGAACTTCATGAAAAATCACTGCAAAAAGGCCTAAAAATTAACTTCAACAAAACAAAAGTAATGACAAACACGGAAGACCAAGAGGCAATAAAAATAAAAACAGAAAAAATAGAACAGATAAATGAGTATATCTATCTAGGACAAGCAATCAGAGCTAATAGAGAAAATCAAACAGCCGAAATATCGAGACGAGTAAGAATGGGATGGGCAGCGTTCGGCAAACTTTCTTACGGTCTAAAAAATCAAACAATCCCCTATACTTAGGAAGCAAGGTATATAACTCCTGTATCATACCGGTGCTCACCTACGGAGCACAGACATGAACATTTACACAGGCCAATTTGGATAGGATAAGGAAGGCACAAAGAGCGATGGAAAGACAAATGTTGGGTGTATCACTTAGAGATAGAAAACGTAACCAGTGGATCAGAACCAGAACAAAGACAGTAGACGCGATAGAACAAGCAGCAAAACTGAAATGGAAATGGGCTGGACACAATGAACGTCTCCAAGACGGACGATGGAACAATGCCATCGGAAAGTGACGTCCATACAATGCAAAGAAATCCAGAGGCAGACCACAGATGAGGTGGAAAGATGACATCAGGAAACAAGGAGGTCCCACATGGCAGAGAACAGCTCAAGATAGGGAAAGATGGAGAGAACTGGGGGAGACCTATATCCAACAATGGAAGGATAGAGAATAGGTTCAAAAAAAAAAACAATTCAATATAGAAAAAACATATTTTTTCAAAATTACAAAATTTGAAATTACAAGTTGTGATGGTTAAATAGGCTACCAGTTAAAATATATCATAAAAATCAAACTACTAATGGTCTAAACAGAATTTTAACTTAATTTCTTACTTAATAATGTAAATTTCTTAAAAATAGTCTATACACGGATTTCATTTTAGATTTTATTTACAGAAAACGCAAATATAATGTTTCACTGCACATTTGCACATTTCAATCATTAAACATTGAATAGTTCTCTTTTCCTTTTATTTAAAGACAACTTATCACAGGAAATACAGTGAGCATCTTGACTTGTGGAGACAACTCCAATTGGTAACTCTAAAACTGATTCTCCAGAATATATTGATCTTTTCTCCGAGGTAACTGGGCATGGTTCGAGGTTGAGCTTCTTTCTTCCATTTTCCTCTTTTTATTTGCTTCTTTTACTCCACGGATTTTTACCTTCCTTTGCTTATCAGCTTCCTTTTTTTAACTTTTTTCTTAGCTTCTTCCAAATTTAATGTTTATGGTGACGATGTTATAACCTTTGTCGATCTTCCCTTGTTTTTTTTTTGGAACAATTTTACCTGATTCTTCATTTGTTGTTTTGTACTTTATTGGCTAGACCTCTAAGCCTTACATGATATTATTTCTTACTATGGTCCTGTAGATTCTTGAAGTATTTTCTGAATTGTTATATCTTTAGTTTATATTGGACATACACTAATTTTTCTTCACCATTTGTTCTCCATCTTGGATTTCTATTTTGGAGATTTTCTTCCGGTTCTTGCATTAAAATTCACAAGCAAAATCAATTCTCAACAACTTCAGTTAATTACTTAAAGGTGTATTTAATATGTAGGTACAGTTTATCATCGATAGCATCATATATTCCTATTTTTACCCATTTTCAAGGGCAACAAGTCAAAAATGAGTTAGATAATTGTTTTATTTAATTAGTCCGATCACTCTGCAACATATAGACTCTATATTAGAACTGAAAGTAAAAACTCTGAGAGGTTACGTGTTTTCGATACTACAATTTGTGTCCCACTAAAAATCACGTTTCCCAATAGTTTTTAAAGCTTTGTCTTTTTTTTTGTTTCTTTAGCAGCTATCTCATCCATATTTAATTTTGTCAGTTCGTTTAGATACCCCCTTATTAATTATTTAGGTAAATTATTCCCTGTGTCCTGTGTCTATGTATGTTCCTACTATCGATTCTCGATATACCTACTTGTTCCTTGTTTGCTTTTTTTTAATTACTTTTTATTTATTCAGAGTCTTTATATCTATCAGTTTTTTTACAATAATGATTTTTCTAATGGGCTGTTCACTTATCTTTCAACAGTTTTCTTTTATTAGAGGAGACACTTGCTCCACCTAGCGGTAACTTGAGGTGAAAATCTGTACGAAGATTATCTTATCATTGCTAGATCACGTACATACATAATTTTTTAGTTGTTTACTATATTCAAAATCGTCAGTTTATATAAATATTATTAAATTAACTGCATAGGATACAATATTTATAATAATTATATTGATATGTTTTCTTATTTTCAATGTTTATTGTCTTGCAGATCTTACTTTTATTAATTGTGTTATTCATTATTCAAACAGGATTTTTACATTAATCTAACTGCCGTTAAATACATAGGTATATTACTGGTTGAGTCACTGTCTTTTGCAATTTGATTTCTTTAAATAGTGTGTAGCTAGTTTTGGTAATATCACTGAACAACCGTTGTTAGGTGGTAATATCCAGTGATAAAGTTTTGTCCTAAATAAAATAAATACCATGCTAAAGATTGATCGTATTTTTCGCTACCTCCATTGTCAATAATTATTCAAAAATTTACATATTATATTTTGAATTTATTACAGAATTTTAAACAATCTTAATTTCTACAAATTTTCTTATTTCGAAAATCATCTCTAAAATAAATATAACTGCCTCCTACAGTATAGGCCACCTATCATACATATAAACGTAATATTGGTTATCATGTGGAGCTTGAATTCAACCTCAACAATTTCAACATTCATATCCATTCCTATCACTATTCACTATCACTATTAGTGGTCTGTGATCACTATCCCTGCTGATCCCTGCTCTGGTTCCAAAAGAGAGGATTCCAATTTCTTCTATGGATTGTCACTGTCAACAAAGAATATAGACGCTGTCAAATAATTGTGACAGTCGTGACAGACAACTGTTTATTTACAATAATAAATAATTGAATTGAACATAAAAATGTTAGGGCAATGTAAAAATTAAAAGTATTAAATTTAATTTGTTTTAAAGATAAAAATATCATAATGGGTAAGTGCTTACTTAATTCACATTGAACATATTTCAATTGTCCATCAACAGCTCTTTCAGATTTAAATGAAGCTCGAAATGAATTAGAAGCCTGTCTCACCGAAGAAATGAAAAAGGAGTACTTTGCATTGCTAAGGAAATGGTTTCTTTTCAGCTCGCCTATAACCAAAGAACATTTTGACAGTGAAGCAAGAAAAATATTAATAACTACTGAACAAATCCGTTGTCACAATTATTTCATACTGGCCATCCTCGCCAAATGTAGTTCTAACAATAAACCGAAACATACGAGATCATCAAATGAAAAGGGTGGTTTTGAAAACATCAAATATTCAGATTATTTGCAACCTTTGAGTCCTACAAATGTAGCACCATCTGAATTTGAAAACCGCAGTGCAGCAGCAGAACTTTTTTTACCAGATAGTAATTTTGTTTCTTGTAAAGTAGCTATAGTGGCTTGGGAAAATGGTATGAAGGGGGCCTCTGATAAAGTTACAGACTTAATGGTACATGCTTGCCAGGTAGGTACACTTGCTACTGGTTATATAGATTTTAAACCTATTTTATATCCAATACAATACTTTTATTATCCAGTTTGTAAGTTTTGAAAAATTAAACAAAACACTTTTCTTTTGCTGCCTTAACTAGTTATAATAATGAATATAAAATCTACATCTGTTGCTCATATCAACATAAATGAAAACTAAAAGACTTTAGAATTGTATTAACAGATGATAGTATTTGATTTGTTTTAAATTAAAAGAATAAACCTAATTTGATTGATCTCATATTGCAAGAGTATGTAGGAAATAAATGAAGATTTGAATGGAATTAGTAGTCTTGAAAACATGAAAGCATATGATAAAAAAAAACCAAAACAGTTGCTTTCATTGTTTAAAACTTAATTTATAGTATACCAAATTTCTCAATGGAATGTGATAGTTATCCATATTAGAATAAACTTCTAAAAAAATCATCAGTAAGTTAATAAACTGCAAAACACATTGTTGATGCATCATTTATATGCTCAGTCAGGGTAATTGAAAACACTATTTAAAATTTCATGATGTCTAAGTATTTGAAATTGATTTAAAAATATCTGTAGTTATGTTAAACATAATCTAAACAAAACTGGAGTAAAATGATACACTGTTTGTAATCTAAAAATTGTGCAAGTTGGTTTTATTAAACACGCCAATGTTTCCAATTACCACACAATATATCAAATGTGCTAAGGAAACTTAAAAAAAATTATAAATTTTTTTTAATGAATTTTATGAATTTTTAAAATTATAAATATTCACTTATTTACTGACGTTCAAAAATATCTAACTTGTTATTAAACTTGTAAAACATTCTTTCACCTCTCATTAAAATATTTGGCTCGGCGTCTATACCAATAATTTGTTGGGAGTTGACGATGTCAGTTTCCTGTATGACAAATTGCTTGCAGGTACCACTCATACATTTTAGAGCTATAATCTTAATATCATTTCCATCCCAATCAATATCTTCGATCATACAGAGGTATCTGTAAGATGTTGTCAGCCTTTTACTGCACTTGAATTCTACTAATACAAATTTCCCCTGCTGGAGTTTGTGGTGTTTGGCAGCTTCTAGTTGTTGTAGCTCTTCTTCTACTGGTTCATCCCAAGGACTGCCATCACTCTCAGCATAAGATTGCATAGTGTGAGGTTGCCCTTTTTTGGAAACTTAATAATGTTAATAATTTTCGGTTTGTTTCCCACACCTCTCAGATTATGGGGAGCAAAAGTTCAGCAGTTAGATGCGGATCAGTTTTAAGTATTTTGGCAGCAATGTTATCGATTCCCGGAGACTTGTTATTTCTTAGATATTTGATAGCTGTTATTATCTCTGTTTTGGAACGTGCCTCGTACGATATATGCAAGTCTACATTCTGTGGGTTTTCGACAATTTCATTTGCTTTTTCTCTGGGCGTGCCTAGCAACTCCTGAAAATGCTCTTTCCATCTCTCTACTTGGTCATTTGTTGTAGTAAGTAATTCGCCTGTCTTGGATCTTACAATGTTTGAACAGTTGGGCCAATTTTTTGTTAGTCATCTAGTAATTTGGTATAGCTCTCTAGTTCTGTTATTTTCTGCAGCTATTTCAGCTTGTATTGCCAGTTCTTCAGCCCACCTTCTTTTGTCTCTTCTTGCATTTCTTTCAACTGCTTTATTTATTGTTTCATATTCTTGTTGTTGGTTCGCTTTTTCTTCTAAAGTTCTTGCATGCAAATTATCTTTCTTTGGCTGTTTTCTTTCCTCGATAAGATTCCAAGTTTCATCTCCGTCTTTCTTTTCTATTTCTGTCAAATCATCTGCCAAATCTTCCCAGCTATTTACTTCAGGTTTTCTTGTTTTGAGTTATAATTCCTCCCCAAACATGTGTCGTCCTAGAGCCGTTTTAAATTTGTCTAGATTGTATGTTGGTATTTCGCGTGATTTTGTTTTTTGTCATCTTGATTTTAATGGTACCGATCAATAATTATACTAGGATTTTAATGCCATAATAGGTAAACCAGAATAAACAAAGACGTAGCTGACAAGGAAATAATCCACCACAAAACTATTACTAATGGAATAATGCTATGTAACAAACACATTTATAATGAGTACATAATTTAAACACATAAAAAGTAACATAGTAATATCAATTAAAGGAAATCCAATAGACCATATTTTCATTTCAATAAAGTGGACAACAATTCCAGATGTCAAGTCGTACCATCGTGGTATGTAAATACTATTTAAATGGGAATAAGCCACAATTAAAGGTTAAAATACGTTTATTGACGTTTCAATTTCCACTTCGGAAATCGTTCTCAAAATACAAACATTAGTAATTTAAACAAATTTTGTTTTTTTATCGTGGTATGTGATACACAATAAGGATTTTAGGAAAGACCTAAACTGAGATTAAAGAACCCGATAATAAAGACATTTGAAAGTTTAAAAGACGACCAAAGTCACACAAGGACTGTAGAACTAAAAAAGATTAATGCAGACTGATTCCCGCGACAAATGAGTCGAAAGAGAGCGGTAATCATTCCGCTGAAGTGATGTCTTGAATTAGGTTTTATAACAGTATATTTTTGTATTTAATCAATCTATTTACCTATTCTGTCATTCCTAGTGTTAATGGTTTCGATATTTTTAGGTATTTGTAAAGAATATAATAACAGCAATGATTTCCCGAAAAAAAGGATACAAAATCAGAGACAACAAACTTCAATTTGGTTTTAACTTCCCAATTCCAGATCCATTCATTCGAAATTCCAACAACATATTTGACGATACTCTAGAATGTAAAGTAGAAGTAGTTGAAGATGAACCTATGTTTAAACCAAAATGCAAATTATCATTAGAAAGTGCTGAACAGAAAACGGCGTTTGCATACTCTTGTGCCAAGAAACCTTGTTTAGATAATAGTTTAACTGTGAAACTTTTGTATGATACGATCAGAAACAATCCAAATATATTAGGGTTGCATTCGATTAGTAGCATTAACACATTTAAACTGAGTTTACAGACATATGATGAAAACAGTGATTGAAGTGATTTAAGCTTTGTATATTTTATTTATTCCGATTTTGTACATAAAAAATATAGTTAAGTAGAAGTAAAAAGTCTATGTATATTTTTACCATTTAACACCTTAGTCGTTGTATCGGTCTTCAGGAACTGTTTAATAGCAAAATATTAACCAGATATTCCTAAAGGGCCCCCATATTCTTTGCTGTTGTGGTTTGTATAGGTAGCCTGGTCCACTCTAGAGATTCTTAGCACCCTCTGTCCCTCTACCTCAGTGACTCCTACCATAGCCTAGTTTCAAGGGACTGCTGAAGACTCAGGGCCTTGCATCTTTATCGTTTCTCATCGTCTCTCAAGTTTCAAAACTTGATTCCAATGAGATTTTCGATTGGCTTGAAGGATTTGATGATAAACAAGCAGAAAATTCGGATGTGGGTGGCGGCAGTGACGGGGAAGAACAAGTAGAATTTAATAGGAGAACATTGTCTACCCGTAACTCTTTAGGTAATATAGTCAACAATAAAAGAGATTTTTTATTATACAATTTTTTTATAGGTCAAGTAGATGATCACATTTTGTTGCCAAGTTCAGAAAATCAGAACAACTGTACTAATTTTAATACCACAGATATATTACGGTCCAAACGAATACGAAACATAGCAAGTTACTCCGAATAAGAATCATTTAATGATTTTGATGTTCTGATGATTTCATTCAAGATCCAGATTATGCCCTTCTTCAAGAAACTCTTCTGTTGAATGCAGAACTAGAAGAAGCAGAAAGCGACTCAGACCAAGAATTGGATGAATCCCTTGTTGTGGATAGGAACGCTAAAGAAAAATATATTTTTTCTAAGAAAGCAAGTAATCCCACAATTTTTTCGAATTATATTTTCACTGAAAAACCTGAAAGCAAAACAAATATTTTTGAATATTCGCCGTCTCAGATTTTCGAAAAAATTATTGGTTTGGATACTTTGGAGTTGATTGTGGAGCAGTCCAATTTATATTCAAACCAGTCTGGAAAGATTTTAGACCTAACGCTGGAAGAACTAAAAGCTTTTTTGGAAATAGTTTTAATAATGGGCATTCATAATTACCGAGCTTACGCATGTACAGGTCGTCTGATCAAAACTTTAAAGTTGATAGAATCGCTAATCTTATATCCCAAAAGCGATTTTTACAAATTTTAAAATTTTTGCTTATAAACAATAACGAAACGATGCCTAAAAGAGGGGAGCCTAATTTTGATAAACTTTACAAAATTAGGCCTCTAAACGATAACGTAAACAATAATTTTAAAAGGTTATTTACGCCTTGCCGACATTTAGCTGTCGATGAAAGCATGGTTGCTTTCAAGGACAGAACAACACTAAAACAATATATGCCGAAAAAAACAATCAAACGGGGAATAAAAGTATGGGCCCTTGCTTGTTCCAAGACTGGATATTTGCTTTCATTTCAGATTTATCAAGCAAAACAAGGTACAATGCCAGAGCCTCACCTAGGAGAGAGGGTTGTTTTACAACTAAGTGAGTCTTACTGGTATAAGGGATACTGTGTTTACTTTGACAATTATTTTTCCTCATTTGATTTATTGAAAGGTTTATTAGAGAGGAACACTTTTGGTTGCGAAAGGTAAGGGATTCAGATTTCTCACAATCAGGGGAACTATCGGTAGTAAAGTGAAGAGATAGAGGAAAAAAATCAGTAAACGTAATAAGTTTTATTCATAATCCAGGACTCATAACAAACGTGAAAAGAACAAACAAAATAGGACATCGAGAAGAAGTCAGCTGTCCAGAGGGTATTGCTGAATATAATTTATATATGAGAGGTGTCGATAAATTTGACCAACATCACTCTACATATTCAATTTGTTGGAAATCACAAAAACGGTGGGTAAAACTATTCTATTATTTAGTTGATTGTTGCATTGTGAATTCCTATATTTTATATAAAGAGTTCGTTCCTGCGAACGAAAAACCTACCTTACACTTAAAATTTCGAACAATTCTCGCCAATGAGCTAATTGCAGACTATAACAGTCGAAAAAGAAGGGGACCAGCTGCGACAGCAATTAAGAAAATTGGAGGAAGAGGTGTCTCCATAGAAACTAATATTAGAAAAACAAATTTGGGACATCACTTGTCAGTAAAGGGAACATGTCACCGCAAAAAAAGCGAAAAGAAGTCAAGTTTTGTTCTTATTTTGAAAAACACAAGTGGTCGATAATTTGGCTAGGATTCAAGCATAGAGTATAACGTTCATCTTAAAGTTCAAACTGAAACTTTTTTTAAACTTGGCAATATGCTTATTTTTCTATATAAAACTCGTACATATCGTTATTTTTTGAAAACACCGAAAAAAATAGTTTTGCGCGCTAAAGGGTTAACACCCGAGTGTCATTCTTAAGAGGTGTACAAGTCTCACAGGCTGGATTAAATTAAATTGTTCGCTTGCTTAAATTCTTAGTCGGAAGTTAACGTGTTAAAAAACCATGTGAAGCTAAAAACTAAATATCTCGTTTTTACGAACTTAATTAGTTTTATTGGTTAAAAGGAGTATAAACATGTTTCAAAAATATTTACGTCAATATACTCAACATGACGTGTAAGCTATTAATTCGTTTTCGCGAACATCATTAATAACAATTAATTATAGTGATTTTGTTAAACATACCAACACAGTTACTTTCAAATAACATATTTTCGTAACGCTTTCTTCCTAGGCGTATTTATATAAGCAAAAGTATTCGGAAGTATTTAGGGTGTAAACAATAATCGCCGCATTAATTTCTAATAATCAAACTTAAACAAAAAAGTAGTTGTTAATATTTTAATGAAGAAATATTTTATTTGCTAAAGAAGATCTTAAAAGCGACAAGAGAAATTTTATAAATATGCAATCAGTTAAGACACACAGAAGTGGAATAGTTTATAACAACAAGCTATATTCTTAATACCTATATGACATTACCAGAATAAGATTTTAATTTTATTTATCTTATAGCACTTGACACATTTTTTACATTTAAATTTACATATATTTTGTATAAAACGTAATGCTTATGTTTAAAAACGAACATCTAACCTATTTATATAGTCTATCGACTCTGGAGTCACTATTAGGAAATCCTCTGATTTGCCATAACATGATCTTGTGGGATACTGTTCTGTGATGTGACAGATGGTTTGTGGTTGTCCGCAGTCACAGAATAGGGATGGTCGTTTACCCCATTTGTACATCATGTAACCCCATCTGCCGTGTTGGGTTCTGATTCGGTTCAGCATAGTCTATCTGTTGCGTGGTAAGTCCAAACCTGGTTGTTTTTGTGTGATGTAGGGAAAGTTGCTATGTTGTTGTTTCATCCATTCTCGAGTCCAAGTGGTCGTTAAGTTGAATTCATTTTCCACAGCAGTCTGTGCTTTTGTTATTGGCGGTCGTCTTGAGCGTAGACAGTTACCGTTGGCAGCATCTGTGTCTTGATGGATTGGCAGGATCTCGTTACCAAGTATCTTTCTGTACTCACTAGTGAAGCAGTGTATGCGTCATAGTTTGGGTGGTGGAGTGTGGCTCCATTGCGTAAGGGCGGATTTAATAACGCCAGCAATCATTCTCATTGTATTGTTCAATTGGGTATCTACTGTGTGTATATGTGGGCTGTTAAGCCAGACTGAAGAGCAGTATTTCGCTGTCGAGAAGACAAGACCCAAGGCAGATGATCGCAAGGTGGAAGTCGATGCTCCCCATATTGTGCCGCACAGCTTCTGGATGGTGTTGTTTCTGGATTTAAGTTTTTCCGCAGTTTTTGACAGATGTTCCTTAAAAGATAGGGTTCTGTCAAGAGTCACCCTAATGTACTTTGGTGATTTATTGTAAGCGAGTGTGATGTTTTCGAATTGGATGTTTAGTGTTCCTCCTGCAAGTTTGTTATTTAGGTACTTAGTTGGAAACTGGAAACCTCTTTTGGTAGCGTTTGGTTGGAGCTTCCATTTACGAAAATACTTTCCCACTGTGTGTAAGTCCGATGTGAATATTTCTTCTGTTTCTTAAAATGACTTACACCTTGTTGCAAGGACTCAGTCATTGGCGTAATTAAACTGCCTTAATCTGGTTTCTGGTATATCAGCAATGTACAGGTACTGATATCGATTCCTATGACTACTTGTGATGATACTATGATACTATTTTTATTTAAGTATTTATAGACGGTTCCTTGTACAGCTTTGCTAATTATTTGTTTGCTTTCCTCTTTAATCATTTCAGCAACCTTTTTCCGTTATAAATAGGTTTCAATATTGTCGTTTCCCATTGATCTAATGTTTCTTTATCTGCATTTATCATAACCCTGAAGTTTTGGGCACCCCTGACTTCGTCATAATGCAAAATATATAGAGCGAAAAACAGAGAGGTAAAGAAAAGAGTAACAAATGAAAAGAACGAACGATGGGAACAAGCATGCACAGAGATAGAACGACATATCGGAGAAACGAGAAATTCAGAATCATGGCGAATATTAAAAGCACTCCAACGAAATAAGACACAGAAAACCCAGATCGGCAAAATTAGTGAAAACGAGTGGCAAAAATACTACGTAGAACTACTTACAGAAAACCGCCCCCAATTTCAGGAAGAGAATACAGAACATGCAGGAAATGGGACATACGACAAGATAGAAATAAGTCTGACACAAGTCAAGAGAGCAATTAAGACATTGAAGAACAAAAAAGCCAAAAGACCCGGAGGGATACCAAACGAACTAATTAAAAACGGAACGGAAAAGTTATTCCGCATGCTACACAGAATGTTCGAAAGAGGACTAAATGGAGAGGAAATACCTGCGGAATGGACACAAGCATACATCACATTAATACATAAGAAAGGAAACAGGAAAAAATGTGAAAACTACAGAGGAATTAGTATAATATCGTCGGTAGGTAGACTTTACGGGAAAATTATCAAGGAAAAACTAGAAATTGAAATAATAGGAAAATTGGAGAAGACCAAGCAGGGTTCACAGTAGGAAAATCATGCCTAGATCATACGTACACATTAGAACAACCGATAGAGAAGAAAATGGCAAAAGGTAGAA